AAAATTTTAGGTTTGTTATTTAAGACAAATTTTTTTTAGTTTAAATTTTTATTCCTAAAGCCTCTGGGAATCCAACACCCACATCACCCCCATAAATATGCCACAGCACTTCCATATACAGAGAATTAACTGTAGTTCCAGCTTATGTTCACAATAAATTGAAAGATCCATTCAAGTACAAAATATCTGCATTTAGGATACTGATAAAAAGGGCCTTCTTATGTTCTACACAGCCAGAAAACCTGAATAAGAACTTAGTTATATTATTCAAATTATGCCAATACTGAGGTATTCAGCTTTTCTTTATCGTAACTTACTAAACAAAGCCAAAGATAGTCAACATTTCAACAAAGAAAAGCACCCAGCTGACCCTATAAAAATTAGAAATATTCTAACAATAGGTCAAAGAACAACGAAAATGATAAGGCCTTTATTTCCAAAACAAAAATATCAGATTAATGATAATAAAGCCTCCAGTAGTATATGAATTTGTAAGAAATAAAGTGTAGTGGATAATATGCTAAATAGTAAAGTATAGAGCAGTGGTACTCAACCTTTTTTGTTGATGTACCCTATTAGCCCATTAGTTGTTTCTCAAGTACCCCTACATTTTTGTATGTAAATTTTATAATTACTGCGTTAGACGTATACAGCCCTTATAACTGAGTACCATAAAAAAAACTCTAACTAACTAGACCAGTGGTATAAATAAATACATTTCAGCTATCTATATATAACATACTTATCAAATAATAACACAAGAAGTGTTAACAATTTACAGCAAATTTTATAACGAAAGTTAGATGTACCCCTTCGATTTATGCTAGTACCCCTAGGGGTACATGTACCCCCAGTTGAGAACCACTACTATAGAGAATACTGATAAAAATAAGAAATCAAAGAATTATCAAATGGAACATTGGGAGCACTTACCAAACATTATGGGATAGATTGAAAGAACATTGGTATCAATCTTAATTAAAGGTTGTCTAAACACAATCTAGGCAGAAATCCTAATGACTAATAAAAATAAGAAGCAAAATGGGAAGAAGCAAAAGTCATACTTTCAATGTCAAACAAAATCTCACTAAGAATCGCAGGAGAGTTCATAATAGCTACAACCCTACTATAAACAACTGGAAAGAAAGGAATGACTTACAGACAAGGATGTGGATGTTAAAAACTGATACATGTAATAATCATTAAAATTTTAATGGTCATTACATGTATCAGTTTTTTGTATTATTTATATTAGTATTATTGTTATTATTTTGATTTTTTACTATAAAAATGAACAATTTAATTGTACCAATTCTATATAACAGCTACTTAATACATTACATCTCAATTTTATTTTACAGTGAATTAATTCCTAGAAGGCATTCTATTTTATGATTTCAAATGCATGCTTCAGTGACGTATTATATTTTGAATATTTAAGTGATGATGACAGAATATTTAAAAACTGTTCTTTGTTCAAATTAAACCTACTACAATCTTATGATGAGACAAAATGTCTTGGAAAACATTTAATCTTGACTAGAATATTCAGACACTTAAATATTTCAGTGTTTTATTTTTTACTGATTCAACTTATTTTATCAAAAATAACTTGAATCATTAAAACCTAATATTGATAAATTATTTTTATCTGTAAAAATTATTTTAACCTGAAAATGACCATTTAATACAACTGAAAACATTAGTTTTGTTAAATTAAAGTTTCTTTGCTGGAATGTGAAGATGTTTTTAGAGTCTAGTTATTGTGATTTCTTTCCAGTTATTCTTCTTCTTCATCTTCGTCTTTTTCCGTGTTTATATGTGGTCTGTGTTTCCTTCTCTAATACATTTTTTCCATTTCTCCCTATCAAGCGCTTCCTCTCTCTTAAGTCCCATCTGGTTCAAGTCTTCTTCCACCTTATCTTTCCAACACATCTTTGGTCTTCCTCTTTTCCTCTTTCCTTTCACTACCTGTTTTCCAATCTTCTTTCCAACATAATTGTCACTTCTTTGCTCTACATGGCCAAACCACCTCAACCTGCCTTCTTGCATCTTTTTGCTCAAGGGGTCCACCTTAACAGAACCTCTAATAAAATCATTCCTTATTCTAGACTTCCTTCATACTCCACACATCCATCTCAACATTCTCATCTCCGCCATGTACATTTTTCTTTCTTGGGCTCTTGTTATTGCCCATGTCTCCACTCCATATAACATTGCAGGCCTAACAACTGATTTATACAATTTTCCTTTCAGATTGCAGCTAACTTTCTTGTCATATAACACACCGCTCAGCTTCCTCCAGTTCATCCATCCACATTGAATTCTATGCTGCACCTCAAATTCAATCCACCTCCCATCTTGACAAATGTCCCGAGATATTTAAAACTCAGAACAAAAGGGAGCAGCACATTTTGGATTTTAATATTACACTCATCTCTACCATTCAGAGAAATGTTGCTGCTAATGACTTGAGATGGACCCTAACGTTGTTTTAAAGATTGTCATTAGTCTCAAACCTCTGCCCTTCTAGCCATATTTTCAGTTCAGGAAAGAGGTGGAAGTCTTCACACATTAAAAAGTCCCAAAATGGGTGGAAGTCTTCACCATCTTTAAACACCCAGCATATAGCCCCAATTCAGCACCAAGCGATTTCCACCTCTTTCCTGAACTGAAAACATGGCTAGGAGGGCAGAAGTTTGAGACTAATGACAATCTTCAAAACAATGTTAGGGCCCATCTCAAGTCATTGGCAGCAACATTCTATGAAGAGGGGATGGAAAAGTTTGTCCACAGATAGACAAATGCCTGAATTTTCATGGTGATTATGTCAAAAAGTAACCATATTCATACCTAACTTTTGGAAATAAATTCATTTTGTTATTTACATTTGTCTTTGTTTTATGGACCATCGGAGATTGAAAAAGAAATAGCCCTCGTATATACAATTCCCTTAGAGGATGAGCAGTATCTATGCAGGATACACCTCTCTCCCCATCTGTACAGATCAAAAATCACCAATATAACTCTAGTAAAAGTCTCTACAACTTCTCTGGCACCAATTGCTATGCAGCAGGCAACAAAGTTCTAGGAGATGGCACAACCATAGTTAAAAGAGTCCAGCATTAGCTCAGCACTCAGAAATAGTCAAAATATACAAGTGGAGCATTAAAGGGAACTGTATAAATCATAGAGACACTACAAACTTATCTAATGTTTGGCAGTTCCTATGACAGTAAATAGAACTTTGTTCACAATGCATTGTCCAATGATTTACAACCTTAATGTTTTATTTCATAATCTTTAGTGGTAAGTGAAGCCTCTTAACACCTTAGATACACGATTTTTGTAACAATGTCATTAAGCAGCATGATATACTAGAATGTGCATTATAATTCAGTTATTAATGCCAAACAATTGCCGGATTATATTGGACTATAATAAGGCTACTGTTAATAATTAAATATTAAGTAATTTTGCTTAGAGATAGGCATTAGGTGCCATTTAATCCATTAATAATTTGGCATTAATCTAAAAATTCGGTTAATAGATTTTTATACAATCAATTATTTTTGAATTATTGTTTTGGATCATTAATTTGAATGCTAGAATGCATCATTAATTAAATTTCTGAAGGTTCAAATGTTTATCATTAATGAACATTCAAACCTAAGGATGGCTATTTAAGATAGCCAAAAACATTTGTTTTTAGTATTAACTGCTGGATTAAAAAAGGTTTTTAATTCTTTTGACCTCAAATAATATGCATCTCTTTTTTTTCTGATTTCTCTGTACAATAAAACATCTAATACTGATGTAAAAAATTATACTTAAAAATGATCTCTGATAAATCTTTATTCCTACTCTAAAGTTCTTTTTGTAACATTCTGTCCTATCTTAACACTATAAATAAATCACACTTTATTAAACTAATTAAGTGTTTAATACAAACAAATGTTTAGGATTAGTTACATAGCCAATTATTGGTTTGGAAAAATATTAAATTAAAGTTTAAAAATTTTAAATTGGAGAAATATTTATTTATTTATTATTATATATTACTATTTATTTTGTATCAATAATATATAAGTCCACAACTTTGCAGGTTTTTATAGATATGTAGTTATGATACTTTGACTTATAACTAAAAGCACTCGATTATAACAAAAAAGTCATCACTTTGAACATACATAACAGATGGTGAAAACACTTAGAAAGAATAAGCTTTTATTTTCTTTTTATAGGCAGAAACTGTTTAGCTTTAATTATCATTTTAAATGACTTTATACATTAAGCTTCCTGGGACTGATGCAGTTTTTCAACTTACACAAAAAGCTTTAGAATGAATTAACTACTCTAATTTACTGTAATAATTTATTTTTCATATCTTTTATTTTATATTATTTCACTAATTTATGATATTTAATATTTTATAGCTTCAAACATAAATTCAAAACATTTTAATCATTAACTAAATTGATTTTGATTAATAACAAAGGATTTATTTCTAATTAATATCAATTGGAGATTACAATTTATCTTACTGTTTATTCTAGTTTTCTTATGCTCATCCTTAATTAAAGTAATATATTCCTTTCTCTTATCTTCATCCTAAAAGTATCTTATATTAATTCCTTAAACATCCTATCATAATTTTTTTCAAAATTTACAGATATAAATAATCACTGCTAGTTTCCCTATACTAAGGTGATTGTATGTCCCCCATTTGTCTGGGATAGTCCCAAATTTCACCAATTTTAACCCTCAAAAACAATGTCTGAAATGTTATCAATTTAATACACCTAAGTACTCAATGAAAACTAAACGTAGTTGAAAACAAAAAATCACATCTAAAATATTACAGTAGAAGCTGTTCTTCAGTTAAGCCTTAATCCTTTCCTCTCTGCCGCGGGGGAATTTCGAAAAATCCCTTCTTAGTGTGCATTATCATGACGTACCCTAACTGTGTATAAAATTTCACCTCTTTAGGTCCAGCTGTTTGTTCTGGGCGATGATGAATCAATCAGTCAATCACTCAGTCAGTCAGGACAAGTAATTTTATATATTTAGATAAATCAACAAAATGATTATTATTTATAATAGTCATGTCCTATTCCTCAATCTAACTTTTTTCATAAAATGAATGCAAAAAATTAATATTTTATTTGTATTAGTTTTAAAATTGATGCCTAAATTTAGAGTTAAAAATGAAATGCTACTTAAGAAAACCGATCTCATATGTAGAAACTTAAGCTGTAAATAGTTCAATGAACTGATAATTTTCCTAAAGTTTATACTATTTAGTCAGAGACTCTGCTTATTTTACACTGCATTCACCATTTTGCACAATCTATAGTTTCTGTAAAATAGACAATCTGCTTTTTTAACATGATTATGTTAAAAGCTCAAAGTGGAGAATTTGTGGAATCCTCACTAGAGGGATCATTCATTTCTTTAATGTAATTTGCATTACCATTCAGTTCTACATAAACCTTCTGCTAAGATCTGTAATGACAGAAAGAAATTAAGACCTACTGCAGAGAAATGACATTCTGCTTATCTTCAAGAAAAACATCTCAAGGAATATATATATATGCATTTATAATATAATGTTTCTACCCTCAATTGAAAAGAAGTCAGAGAACTCAAAGATATCATACACAAGAACAAAGAGACTGTCTCAACTTTGTAAGCCTATATGCCCTCTATTAACCTTGAATGTTGTTTTGTGCTCTGAGACTTTTTACTTTCTTATATCCTTAATGGTTACAAATATTTTTCAGATATTCTAGAACTAGTGCTTTAGTTAGAACTGAAACTTAACTTTTTTACACATCATTTTTCTCCTTTAACAACACAGTCCACAAGGAAAAAATAACAGTTCTATTTAAAAAAAAAAAAACTACTTTGTGAATTAGTTATAATGAAGCTGAAAAAGTAATCTCTATTTTTCACCTATCAGTGACTACAACCATAAAGTAGATGACAATATGCTTATTTGGAATGTATGGACATTTAGACTAACTGATTCTATAAGCTCCAGTTGATTCCTAAGCTGGATAAATTTTTCCTCGCTTATGAATAACAATCCTTGAATTAACATTACAACTCAATCAATTACAGTGGTATCTCATACTTTAAACAATTTAACTTTAAATGCTTCAAAGTTCAAACACTAAATTTGGCAAAAATTCATAATGGAGTTCAAATTGCATATGCAATAAAAAATATACTTGAAACATAAGCATAACTTATTGTGCATCCAAGTCATCTCTCACTCTTAAGACATTACACTCGTATGTTTTTTGTGCTTTTATCACTTTAGTTTTGGTGGGTTTGATTATATATAGAATACTGTAAGTTATTTTTCAACTTTTCACAATTTCTTCCTTATATTTTAGTTCTACTTCAACAACAGAAACCAATTTGAAAACAAGTAGCCTTGAAAAAAGACAATGTAATCCTTACATTTAATTTAATTGTTACATGAAACGAATACACACAAAACTTGTAGTTATATTTACTTTCAAGGATTTCTCCCACACCAGGTCATATAAAACAAATATGTGTAGTCTTTAACCAATATCCAGCATGAAAATTCCAAACTAATATTGAATCTTAAAGAATTTTAAAACTCAATCTTAAAGAAGAAATGAATCTCTCAACAGCGTGGCAGTATTTATTGGATGATGAATCGTAATTTATTATACAATACACCAGATTATTATGGGATGCGCACATCGTATATCCAATAGTTAAAATTATTTTTAGAAAGGCACGTGATTATAAAATACGCGAGATTATTATAAGATGCGCACAACATATCTCCACGAATATAAATTATAAAGAAATTATAATTCGGAAAGGCATGTGATTACCTTCCTCATTTGAACTTCTAGTAACAGAGCACGTTCTTATTTAAAAATATTCAATTTAAGAATCCAGTACATTAAATTTGGCCTGAAGAAGAGCCCAGGAGGGGCATCAAAAGCGTTTGCCAATATTAGTTTGGAATTTTCACGCCGGATATTGGTTAAAGACTACACATATTTGTTATATTTACTTTCTTTCCTGTAATCTTTCTTTGTTGACAGTTTTTGGGTACCCCATACATTTTGTATCCCTTAGTTCAAAATTTCTTGAATGGTACTTTTTAATGTTCAAAGTTTTGTAGCATCTTCCCCATACAAATTATGAATTGTTTTTATTGTATGGCATTAATGTATATCTTTTCCAAAACTCATAAGCATATGCCTAATATGCCTTTTATCTGAAGACATTTCAACTTGATGTTATTCAAATAAAATGTAAAGAGATAAAACAAATAAAACAGCGAAACCATTTTTGGGATGAGACTGTCTCGGAGAGCACGAGCAACATATGCGCAAATCTCGCACTCATGCCCGTTTGTAGAAACAGTCTCAGCATTTCATATTTTCTTTTGACCCTGTTCTCGGTCCCCTGACTACCTACAAGTCTGGTTTATTTTATGTGCACATGATTTTGGCATCAAATACTCTGTGCCAAATTGCAACTCCTGACATGTACTCCTTCATACCTCTAAGATGTGCAGCCATTAACAGCAGCACAATTTTAGAGACAAGACATAGTCTTGTAAATAAGTTTAAAATAAAACATTTTAAACACAGAGCACAATCCCACATTACTGCTAATGTGAGATTGTATTCATTATAATTGAATGTTATAATTAAATTGCACATCTATTTTAAGTAATGACAGCTGTTAGTAATATGCAAAAACTTTCTGTTGAACACGATATAACCATTTACTTATTAACCATGGCATTTGACAATTGTATGAAAGCAACAAAGTCTAAAAGATAGGTTGTAGTATCAAAAGCAAAAATGAAAAAGGAAGTTCATGAGGCATGAAAACATTACACATACAGCAGATTTGATGGCCATGTTTAAGATGCCTAAGTCAACAATATACAACTAGTTAATGAAATTTTCAATTTATTATTAAAGCATTTGATTGTGTTATTTTTACTTTAAATTATGTGTACTTGCTGTTTTAAGTTTATCAAAATAGGTATTGTTTAGGATCTGCAAATGGATTAATCAACTTTCCGTTATTTGTAATGGAAAAATGTGCTTCAGACTTTGAACAATTTGAAATTTGAACAGCCTCCAGGAATAAATTAAATTTGAAGTTCAAGGCATCACTGTATATGGGGACAATATGCATTTCCTGAATATACATCTTTTGCTAATGAAAGGACAAACCCACACTAAAGTTTTCATTAATCCCTTTTATATTCCAGTTTCTTTCTTGGATTCTTTCTGCTCTACAGTGTCAGCATTTCATACTCTAATTAAATAAATGTACTAGTACATTCACTGCTTCAGATTTATGGGTCTTAAATTAAATTTACAAAGAATTTCATAAGTATGGCTTCATAGAATGGCTTTCCTGTCTGCAGAACTGATCAACTAATCAAGTTCCATCACAATAACTAGCTGCCAAACACTAGCAAACAGATTGTAAAATATTGTGAAAACAGAGAAAAAAGTAATCTTGCATCCACTGTGTAAGGACACTGCTAAGTCTAATAATAAACACTTCATCTTATACCATTTGTTGCTAACAATGAGGATATCCTCAATAGTTTCTTTCACCCTCCAACTGGACTTAATGGTAAAGTATAAAACACCTCTCAAAACATCACTAGTGTCCTGTGACAGATTTAAATCATTAACAAATGTTTTTGAGCTCCTCCTGAGCCCTGCTTCAGGTTTTCAACATTCTATGAATAGAACATGTATAGAAGAACCTTCATCAAATTCAAATCACTACATTACCAATGAACCTCTGATAGAAATGAACATACATCACTACATAATAAGAAGTGTGTATTACATTGACTGAATGGCACCTTATTCATATATTGCTTGCTAAGCATATGATATTTGTTTTTTCTCTTTATAGTTAATGCATGCCCCTTCTTGTTGGCTTTAAAAATTTCCAGGGCCTCCACATCTCATGATACCTTCACTGTGCATGATTGTAAAGATCAACTTTCTTGCTGTAACAAAGCTTCAATGTCATTGTCAGTGGCATGTGCAGACAGGGCAGTGAATAGTTTTCCACTATCAATGTTGTATTTGTGTTCCCTTATTTGCCATTTCAGAGACCTAGTGGTAGAGCCAACATATACAGTCACTGGATGCTATCAGGGTTTTGAGAGGTATTTTATTTGATATCTTCATTGTAAGGTGTCTATATCATTCCTGCAAAGAATAAAAATTTTGGTATATGGTATATAATGATCACTTCTAGATCTTTTTGCCAAAAACTAAGAAACATAAAAATACAACACAAATAAAGGAATTGATAGCACTGTTTCACCATCCTTAACTAAACTTCCAAATTCTATTCTTGGATTACTACTCATCTGGAGTAACAGCCACCCTTCTCATGCTTGTATATTAGAAAAGAACAAAATCTATAAAAACTCAATTTTGAATTTATGCCTTAACTCTCTCCACTCTGCATAGAAGTTTCTTATCAACAATTCCTGTCCACTTTTAACATCTTAATCATCATTTGTTTTTAAGGTTTGTTTTTACTTATTTTAAGTTTTTATTTTTATTTCTTATAATTATTCATCTCTTAATTATCCTAAAAGTTCATTGCAACATTATATTTTAGATATTCATTGTTTTGTATTATTCTATTTTTTCTTGTAACACTACGTCTTGTTTTTGATGCCTGTGTTGATGACTTGTTAATAGGGTTGAAAATATTTGCATTTGAAAATATTTGTTCACTCTTACCAATGAGAATAAACAGATGAACAAATACTAACTTATCTCAATTATATCTTTTATACTTTAGCATTAATATAATGCTAAAGTATCCAAGCAGGAAGCTTGACAGTCATCTCTATCCAAGTCTACCCATTTTTGTGAAATATTCTTTCAGAATGGCGAGATATGCAAAAATTTTCCATTCAAATCCCAATAAAATTACTGTAATACAGTAGTCGTATTTTGCTATTCTGTATTGTTAACGTGTATTTTTTTACTTTTTTTTTAATGATTTATACATGCTAAGCTTGTAAACTTCTTGTTGAAGATGTGTTAAATCAGATAAAGATAGATTTTTCCATTAAACAACCCAATTATACTTTCCATTTCTGTTAGACAGGTTCTGCTATATGCAAGTTAATTTACATTAATTTTTGCAAAAAATTCAAGGGATCAAAGAAATTTTCCATTAATGACAGGTTTTTGCTATATACAAGTTCCATTATAGAGAGGTTTGATTGTATATAGTTTTTTGTTTCTGAAAAGTTTTTTTCCATGAACTTAGGTTTTTGACCAGCCATTCTGTTTCATAAATCAACATACACAATATAATTTTATACTACTTTAAAATTATGAAATTGTTTTTGCTAATGTTTCAAACAATTCAGTTTAACTGAGAATGTCAATTAGAAAAACCATCTGAATTTCAATATAATTTCATGTATTTTATAATTGGGAATATCAAAAAACAACATACTTTGGCAAAATTCTAATAATTCTTTTACATAATTTGTAATACTTCATATTTGTTTCTCCCAAGCAACAATAAGAAGATTAGTGAAATCGGAAAATTATATTTTGTGAAAAAGATCCTAATCTATTACCTAAAATATAACACAAGAATAACTGAAATAGAATAAGCAATTTCAAACCTAATATAGAGGAAAAATGCTTAAATATTCAAACAGATCCTAACATTTCAAGCTGAAAAATTAAAATATTATTTCACCCAACCAGACAGTTTATTCAGTTGACATCCAACTACTGAAATGCATAAAACAAGCAATAAAATTTACCCTAAACTATAATCCACAATATGAGTCAAAACAAGAAACAATAATTCCAAAAATAAATATAATCAAAAGTATGCCATCGACACAAATTGATCACAACAAAATCATATCAGAGAAGTCCAGCAAACACTAGTTTCCATGCACTAAAATGAACAGAGAAAACTTTGACCAGATCCTGTGCAAATTTGGAGAAAGACAGATGAGAGCAGAGGAGCCCAACCTACAGGAGCAAGACAAAAATCCTACCACATCCAATATCTGTCTGTTCTCTCTGCAAACAAAAATGAGGGAACAGGACAGACCACGTCCTGTTCCCTCATTCTGCCAAAATCCATGAAGGAAAATGAGCCAGGGTAAAAGAGGACTCCACACTTTTTCAGACCCGTCCAATTTTTAAGCTACATGGCAAACTAGCACAACTTTGATTTTGATGCTCCAGTCCACAATCCAACAGTTTGCCAAATTTTCATTTCTTACAATATTTTTTTTTAAACAGTCGTCGACTGGTGTAAAAACAGGGAGAAAAATAAAAATAATAATGAATTGACAGGACATTGCCATAAGTAGTAACGAAATAATTTCGCCCTCGTTTCATATAAACGAATACTTTAACGAGATATCGTAGTACGTTCGAGTAAAAAAAATTTCCATTTACGTCAGCGACGTTAGACCCCGATTTGCGAGAATCGCACCGAGAGAGAGAATTGTCGGTACAATTCTGGCCATTAAATCGGGGAAAGCGACGTCGGAAACGACGGGACACGCTCTAGGGAAGGCGAAACGAACTCCCGAGTTAACGAACGTTAAATCCGAGACTCGTTTCAGGCGCCGTAAACGGGAACTAATTTCGATTTAATATTTCTCTATCGATTGGCCGAAAACTAAGATTGGTACTTCGTACGTTTCTAAGCCAGGAAGCGCATTCCGAACGAGACCAGAAGAAAACGAAACTCAATCGGAAGCTGCACCGACCACCGTTTCCATTTTAAAAATTTCGACGGCGCGGACTCGCGCCCTGACGCGTCGCGAGCCACACGCGAGTCAAAAATCGCGAACGAGCACGTGGATCAACGACGACGTCAAATCGGAGCCGACGGCGCACGCTCGACCGACCACGAGAGAAATCGGTGGAAAGCACGAGGAAAGACAGAAGAAACGATTTGATGCTTTTTCAATTTAATTACTTAGTTTTCGATCCAGTTTGATTTTTTGACGACGAAGAACGATGGGACGCTGGAAAAATAAAATTTAGACCAAAAAACGAGGCGTCGAGAAGGCGGAAACGGATGCCGATGACCAGAGGTCGACCGTTCGGAATTCGAAAAAAGGCCGACTTCTGATCGGCGGTCGGAAACGTCGCCAACGACGTTTTCGAGTCGCGCGATTTCCGGAAGACAACCGACGCGCACGCCGGCTTCTGTCCACGGCCCCAGACCGAGCGTAACGCCGGGCCGCGCCGATCCGCGGCCGGATCTTCGTCTCTCGCCCGCGACCGATTCTTCCGGAACGAAATGCCGTTTCGGTCGGTGCCGTCGGAAAACACCTCGGCCAATTTCGGACGAAGAGACGGTCGGCGGGTCGACACCTGGGGAAAGCGCAATCCGGGCCGGGCCCGCGGCCGGCGCGACGTCGTTCCGCGCCACGCGAGCACGGAGAGGCCCGACTCACCTGGATGTAACGCAGGGCTCCCCTCAGGATGCTGAGATTCGAGGTCTTGCGTTCTTCCATGTTGGGTAGCTGCCTCTTCAGCGTTTCGAAGCATTCCTTCAGATGGGCGCGCCTGTCCGGTGCGAAGACAAACACAGTATATAGGAATAACGTGCGAAACGTCGACTAGACGTCGACTCGACTACCGGCTCACCTGTTTTTCTCCAGCTTGTTGTGCACCTCTCTGGTTCCTCCTCCCCTGAAAAAAGTCGGAGTTTTCGTTAATTGATACAGCGATACTCGAGCGGGAAAGAGATTTAAGAGAAGGCGACTCACCCCTGTATCTCGTCACCCAGAATCGGAGGTTCCCTGGACAACTGTCCTCCGCCGGAACGTCTTCTCTCCTTAGAGGCATCGGGGCGACCGGCTGGAGGTTCGCCGTCCTGTTTGCAGGCCACCGATCTGTGTCTGGGTCCGGTCGGCGAGGCTTCTTCGCGTGCATACAACCTCCCAAACGTGTCGTAGTCATGAGGTTCTTCCCCTTGGACGGAAGTGAAACGTCAGTCTCACGTCGTCGGTGTTTACGCGCTCGTCTGCCTTCGCGTCCGCCAATTACCAGCGTCACGTGGAAGACGACAATAATAAAAGTCGAAGCGACGGTGCGGGCGGGCGCGCGCGTCGTTTCCGGGTTAATTCGAATTATCGGAGCGATCGATTTTAAAATCGTAGGAAAAAGATGTTATTAAATAAAGAAGGGCGGCGAATAAAGGCCGGAGAAGGCCGTTATGCGGCGATTACGAATTACCATTGAAGACTCGGAACAAAAAGGTCGGAACCGTGTCGACGCTGCGGCCCGAATAATCGGACTGGGACGCTGGCCTCGTCCGCCTCGACCCTCGAAAACCGATTCCGCAATTACCGACCTTTAAAAGGACTTACCACGTGCTTTAGCTTTGGAACTGTATTCGACGTATTTCGCCGCTTCCAGTAACGTCTCCAGATTCATCACCGTTACATCAATTAGTCGGTTGCCGACAGCTTCGATCGGAACGCGACGCGATATTGGAAACGGGGGAACGAGTAAACACCCGGGCCACGTTCGTCGAACACTTTCCTGCCAAGATGGCGGGACTCGTCAAAACAGTCGCCGTTCTCTGGTGCAAAAATGCCACAGCACCACGTGGTCACGATGATTGACGTTGCATGGCTACCGGAACGCCTCGTCCTTATACCAGTCTCGGTCGCCCGATCATTGTCTTTCATAGAAATTTTACTCTCAAACAGGATTTTAAAAATAAATTTCGCTCGATTTATCGTTTAGAAAATATACGCTATATAATCTCTGCTAGAGAGCGCTCTCGATCCGATCCAATCGAACAGTGCTCTGGAACTGTCTAACGAATCCGGGTATAAGAACGTCGGCATTTTGAGGCCGAAATGGTGGCCGCCGTACTTTGGAACGGATGCGTGAATTGTCTCAATCGCTCTATCGACTTTAATTCCTCTCGATACCTCGGAGGAATCCAGACTTTTTTCCCAAGATTTCGTAATTAAGCCGCGGACGGATTAATCGTCGAGTACAGGTATAAGCGCGCGGATTTACGCGACTGGAACCTTCCGGGTTCGACCAATCATCGTCGATTCGGTGACGTAGCGGTGGGTCGGGCCACAATCACGTGTAGCGAGATGTTGTGCTTTCGCCGCGTACCACCCCCAAAGTTGACATTAGCGAGTCGACGTCGCATCCGAGATTTTTCGCTCGATTATTCCGTCAAAATGGATAAGTTCGCATCTTTCGACTGATATTCGGCTCGCCGTCGTCGTGCGTAGGGCCTCCGCCCGATCAGGACTCGTTTGGCGTTGTGTGTTCGTTATTTCGTCAGAACTCTTTTCTGTATTCTGGAACGAATGGAAAACCACGCGTTTCGTCGGTCACGTGGAAACGTCTGGCGTAACGGTACGTCACTTCCGTTCTTACGGCGAAAACTTCCGCGCTAGTCGTGATAGCACGTGCGCGAGTTTTTATTTATCACGGAGAAATAGGCCAAAACGTTACGTTAAGAATCGAACGGCGACCAAATTTGACACGGACGACGTGGTCGAGGCTCGGCCAACCCTTAATATTTAGGAAAGAAATATTATTGGGAGCCCTCTGCTGGGCCGATTTAACAACAAAATTTAACGTAAATATAACACTCGTTTTCGTCCGGTGTAAGCCAGTGTAATAACGACGGCTCTTTAAGTCGTGTAAATTATTACGCTGAAATTGAATTATATTCGTTTATATATTGACAATAAAATAATGTAAAGACGTTCTTTCCGACGTCACATTTAAGATTAAGATTTTCTTGAGATTGTACTTAATACAGAAAGCGAAACAGATGAAATCAATAGGCTGATTTGTAAATAAAATAAGAAATATTAAGTTAAATAATTATATGCGAAACAATAAAACTCATTACAAAAAAAATATCTAAAAATCATGTTTAGCTTAATTTTAAAATATGAATGTGTCATTTTAAATAACATTAAAATTTACATTTAATTGATTTTATTTTTTTAAAATGGTATTTACGTTTTCCAATAAATCTGAAATGAATAACTTGATTGTTGTAAGACCAGGACACCGTCGAGAGGAGAAGAAAGCTGGGGATTTTTCCCCTGGTCCGGAGAAAACTTAGAAGCCTGCTATAGCATTAATCTATAGGGGTAGGAACTGAGTGGTTCTTACCTCTATAGGTTAATGCTATTTTTACTAACAGAAAATAAAATATTTAAGACTGCTTTTTGTTAATAAAGAAACGTTCTACGTATTTTATTTGTTAAAAAAAAAAGGCGCAAGAGATCCGCTCTATCCCCGAGTGCCATACATGTCCTCGACGTTCGTACAATTAATTGTCCTTATCAGCTAATTACTACATACTTCAAAATATATAAATACATTTTATTAAAAATAATTATAACTTTTCAAAAATAATAAATGTACATAATAATTTTTTCGTGCATTTGTAGCATTTCAATTTTTTATTGTTCCGCTCCGGCATTAAAATGCTTGCTCCATGCTCACTCTATCCTCTAAGGAAAAACTTTTTAAAAGAAACTTAAATTTAAAAAATTTTATAAACCTTTTTTCTTAGCAATACGACGTCGTTATTCGTTCTATAAAATAAAATAGTAGAAAGTAAATTACTTTTTTATTTTGGTGGACGGTCGTTTAATGTTAATTTTAAAGCGGAAAATAATCGCTCGACATCGTTGAGTAGTGAACATACGTGATGCAATACGTCAAGCGACTCGAATGCTCTCTGGGTAATTTTGAATCACCTCAAATACCGATTTTATGATACTTTGAACCTGGAGGTTTCAGTAGTTTGACCTGGTTTTTCACATAGAAAGAATTATGCCGTTCTTCAGTATCAACAATATCCATTGTTTTTATAAGTTTTATTTCTCTTTTCTTTTCGTAGAACTGCACATTTACTGCAAGAAAATTTGTTTCTATGGGTTGCCGCGTCCATCTTCAAGTAACACGAATTTCTTTTTAGTGTTTCTGTGAGATAAACACGACCAGACTCGGAGAACCAATTTTCCATTGCTCCATTTTCGATTTTTTATTAAATGATGCTATGTAAGTACTATTTTCTTCAGATCCAAAATGACGCTTTTTCGCCGCAATCCTTGCTTTATCTTCTTCGTCTTTCCCTCTAATCAGAGCTACATAATTTTCGGATGATTACGTTTTACGTGCGGCCAAAGATTAAAGTTTTCACGGTACCTCTTGTTTCGCTAGCCTTGAACTTAAAGTTGCATTGTTTGAGTTAGCCTTTGCTTGTTGCAGATTTTTTCTTGTTATTTTCAGATTCAAATGTGAAAATGTTATTCAAATCTCCTCCCGTAAATCGGCTACGAATCATAAAGGGCAGTTTTAATATTTTCTTTGTTGACGACGACTCCATAATTGATCTGTGCTAACGAACACGATATAAATCTAACATATTATCCATGCATACATATGTATGACATACCTGTCTGTAATTTAAATGGATTTACATTCTTATTAAAAAATATTAAATATTCCATTTTTATGAAACTTGACCAAGTATGTGATCGTTCACGTTCATTCTACATTCAAATTAATGGTCACTGCACAATTTGCGATGAACTCCAATGTCTAGCGAGGAGGAAAAAACAAAACACGGCGTTACCAAATGTTAGTTAACGGTCTTGCACGATAACATGCTTGCTAAATATTAAAAAATATTAATATAAAATACTGGAGGAATAGAGCAATGAGAATTATCTGTGCTCCTGCTCCACTCCAGCTGCGAGCAAACACCCACGGCTCTACTGCCTCGAGCTCCAGCTCCGTGCTCCGCTCCAAAATACCGAATTTTACTTTTTGATAGACTACTTTTACTTGCTACCAGCATTGCTACTGCTTTTGTTTCTTATATCTTGACTAATTCCATAATGAAATTTTCTTATGTTTGTTTATTTTTCCTGTTGATATTAAAAATATAAGGTTAATATACTCAAACTTTAAATATGAACAAAGTAATTTTTATGTAAATCAAATATTTGTGATCTGTTGTCTGAAACGATTGGTCTTCTATTGTAAGTTTTCAAGTTTTAGTTCATCTACTTTTTCTGAGTCGAATACTATTAAAATGTCCACGTATCTTACAAAAAAATTTGAATTGTAAATTACAAAATAATTTTATTATTTGTCATCCGGCAAAAACTCTAATCTGAAATGCATTTAAATAAAATATCTGGGAACTAGAATTGTCTTCTGAGTAATTCTCGAACTCGGGTGAAAGTAGGATTCGAACAACAAGACATTTTGTTTTTATTCGTCCAAAAAAACCCCTTTAACTAACAATAACTGGAATTATATCTGGCAAATATTGCTAATTTTAGTTTTTTTTTCCGGAAATAAATAAATATGCATCGAATATTAAAAATCTCAAGTATTAATATTTTTACTACAGCAGGTTCATCCTTACGCAGAATAAGTTCACTGATATATATGTAAATTAGCAGACCAAATAGTGTCGCTGGGATGACTGTGCGTGAAACTCGTCATAAAAAAAGTTACAACAGTTATTGTGTGAATTTTGGTATGATATACGAATATAAATTACAGGTAAAACAAATATTGTTAAAAAATGTTTATAAATTTCAATTTATTTATTTGAATTATTTGTATAAACTTAAAGAACGTCATATTCGAAAGCCCTGTCGTCAAGCAGTCAGCTTCGAGTATTGTCAATCTGTTTATTGTCCACTTGATATATAGAATATGAAACTGTCCATCCTGTACGACATCTGTACGCTCGTGATATGTGCTTTTGAGGTATGTTTTTAAAAAGGATTTTTTAAAAATGTTATATCTACGGGATGTTTTACTCGCGTATTTATATGTATAATTTCTCATGTTTTATTTTAATGTTTAGTTGGCTGAAGAGGGGCTAATGCCCGAAACGCGACTTGTAAATAGCGTCTCAACTGAATAAAGTGGTGAATAATCTGCCAAGTGTTGAATAATGTCACCGTAGTGTGTCTGTAAAAAAGCAAGAATATATTTTATCACGTTCAAAACATGGCCAGTGGCGTAGCGAACATAACTGGCGCCCGGGGCACGACACTTTATTATTGCCCCCTCCCCTCCAGAAACACATATAGTTTGTCTTGGAGACTATTTGGGCGCCCCTCTGCGAGTGGCTCCTGGTGCATGAGACACCCCCTTGCACCCCAATCGCTACGCTACTGAAGTTAATAAACATAAATCTTTGTGAAAAATATTATTAAATGATTTTATATCGCGTGATATAGCGCATGTGTTTATATAGACTCATCACGAGCGACGCCAACACTCGATGGAACCGATCATCGACGATGAGAAAAGCGAATAACGCTAACACCCAAATACGATTTTTTTCAGATTTCGGCTTGGATAATTTTGTGGAAGATGCACGTATACATGCAGAAGTGAATAGAAAGCTAGAGTTGTTATGTGAGGAGCAATTTGATCCTCGTGATCTAAGTATGAAATTACCAACAGATAAGATGATCAGATTGATTTCTTCGGTTATTACAGTAGAGCGTCGTTTATCCGAATCAATTGGGGACTGGGGTGGTTCGGATAACTTTATTTTTCGGATAACGAATCATGTACGAAAAAATATATTAATTTATCCCGTGTTGACATTTTTCTCCGTTGCGTGTCGCTTCGCGTTGAATTTTCGTCGATGTTAAGCCTAACGAAGACAATTGTATCGTTAAAAATTATTTTTTTATTTTGTACAAACAAAATAAATATATTGAAAAATATAAAAACAATAAAAAATTATACTTCAGATGTTAATTTAGTATCAAAAACGTAAAATATTTGAGTAGCCCAAGAAATAGCCGAAGATTGCAGCGCCACAGCACTAGCGAAAATTTAAATTTGCAGACTGGAATGCTTTCGGATAACAGATGTTTCGGATAACCAGCTTTCGGATAAACGACGCTCTACTGTATTAAAAAACTACTGTTGGAAAATTACCAGGAAACAAATTATTTGGAAATTGTTCTCGGGCTTGCGAGGATTGTTTCGGTTACAACGATTCAAATTCACAACAAATTGATAAAAACGATGTTTACTTTCGTTACAATGACTGCTAGAATCATCTTGTATCGTGTGATCAGAAAGTTCAACTGTAAGCTGTTAATTACTGTCTCAACAGGTAAGTTTTGGGCTGCAATTTGAAAAAATTGTACACCTATAAATTCCTACTGTCGCTGTCTGTCTGTTCTTAATCTCGAGAACGGAGCAATCATTTATTGTGAGAGTGTCACGATGCCAAACTGCAATTTTGAATCATATTTTTAAAATTTACTTAATTTATAATATATGCTCTCCACCTCAAATTAGTAATGTCTTGCCCCTGTACATAATACTTTTCCTTTAGCAATCGAGTCGTGCCAGTCATCTAACATCTTTCAGGGAAAAATTTTTAATTGAAATAACATGACTTCTGGTTTGCATCGGAAGTTCATATATAATTAATCGGAGCCTCCTAAGGTTTACATATCTGGTCTCATATTTCATCTAACTCCATTCTCGAGATTAAGGAAAGAGACGAACGAACATATGAATGACAGTGGGAATTTATAGGTCTACAATTTTTCAAATTGCAGTCCAAT